AATAACAGCCAAAGAAGGTGGCTTTGAACACAGAAATTTGGACCTATCACACTTATCATATTTGGCACGAGCTTTATGTTTAGCATTAACACTTTGGTGATAAAAAACTGGCTGGAAGTTGTTAGGTGCAAACTTGCTTTCCTCGTTTTTCATTTGTGCGTGTTCCATCCAAACCTTTCTTTATTGTTTAGAAGTCTGTAATTTTTTATTTAGCATCTTGCAACTTTGCAATTATTCAGTTTTTATTTCTGCCGGTGACCCTATAGACAAATCAAATGATTAAAAATTCCGTTTTATTTGATCTTTTAATCTACTTAACTGGCTATTACTTTTACGCTGTACGAAAAAATTTTTACTTCTAAGCGTTTCTGAAGCACAGGGAATTAAGACTTGAAGAGTAATATGGGAGTTCATCAAATGATTCTGTATAGCCTAATGCCATTGTTGTCTTTTCAACATTTTTACAGAATTCTTTACGTCAGCTTAACATCAGGTGCGAACTGGGGGCGGTACCCTTTCAAATTAAAGTTGACGTGGCGCCGAAAAAGGTTGAAGGGAGCAGGTCGTTTCGGGGGACGTAATTAACAGTGATATTTATTGAGAAACCGAGCAAAATTTCAAACAACAAAATGTGACTATGAAATGCAAAATAGCAACTTGTAATAGTTGATAATCAAACCGGAAAGTAAAGATAACTACTAAAATATTTACAGATGCATCGGAATTACTTGTCTCTATAAAGAAAAAGATAGACGAGGAATTTGACGAAGAAAGAACAACGGCAATGAGATAGAAGTGCAAAAATCATATAACAGAAAAAGACTAGAATTAAACTACTTGAAACTCTCTAGCCGCTGCTCCCTAGACTGTCCAGTTGGTAAATAGTGTCATGCTATGCTGATTCTTCGCAGTTATAGGTACGAGACCATGGAAATATATATTCCTACTGCAGTTCTTGTAACAAAAAATCAACTTTTATTTGGGAAAAATCCAAATGACTTATTGCAGCTAAATAATTATATACGTGATACCGTTAATTTTGTTGTGGAAGCTGTTGTACATCTTCATATGGAGCATTTTGGATACATGCGGCAAAATTGCGATTCACACTTCTGTAATGCTCAGCAACTTTTCATTTTAACCTAGATTATATGGCTCTTCCTAAATCGACCTTTACTTTTGGTTTTATCTTACTTCTTTATTACGGTTGTCTGTCGATTAATACCGGGTTATACTTAAAGGACTGAACTGCGTTTGCTGTCTTTTTTTTTCGTTTTCCACTTTTGTTTTTCTTTACCAAAGCTTTCGCAGCAAAATTAATGGTGTCTTGTAATTAGCTAATGTATAGACTGTATTGTATATTGCTAACGCGTAAGTGAACGTGTCGTTTTGTCCAAGTTGTTTGGGCCACCTGATAGAAATCGTTATGTCGAAAGCCTCTGAAGTTTCAAATTATATTCAAGTAGCTTTATATTAGTTTACAATGGGTGGCGATCACCATCAACCGTTTGAAGTCCCAAACTACACCAAATATAGCGATTATCAGTCTATACCAGAACTTGTTGCTCATGAAAAACGATTGGCTGCTATTGGTTTAAAGGATCCGTGGATCAGGTACGGTTACTGTTGTTTGATTTGAACTTTTAAGGAACTTTTATGCCAAGAATTTGGAGGTAATTGAAAGGTTTTATGGTGTGTCATGTGTGTGCCACCTGACTAGGATCAGAATTTTGTACTTTTAGCTTCTAAATCACTGTTTCTGAAAAACACTCGAATGATGCTGCGACATTAAATCGTTTATCTGCTGTGTCGCTTTTAAAATTTTTTAATTGGAGGATCGCGCTGATGATAGTTGTTATTGTTGATCAAAATGAGCCTTATTCGGGAAATGTTTCATCGATAGTTTGAACATGAAAACGTTTTCTGAGAGAGATCATCTTTCCACTAACTTGGAATAAGGTTGGAGGTGTTTTAAGCGGCGTTTCATAGCAACGTGTTTTCTGAGAAACGTTATTTTTGAGACAGGCGGTTATTAGAGTAGGGAAGACATGACAAAACTTTGGCCATTAATCACCTTACGTTTTGTTGAACGTGGGACAAATCGCGATGCTAAACATTGTTATGGGAAAGTAAAATTGATTTCATAGGCAACGCTGGCGAACTCTAGTCCTTCATTCTGAGGCTGCTGCATGCTGATGCATTTTTAACAGTTGACTTCGTGCAACATAAGCGGACAAGCGGAAGCGTTCAATTCTTTTCAATACTCGGAGTTTTTTTCAGAAACTATGTTCATGTGTTTCGTTCCGGTCCGCCACAAAGGAAGGACGTGGGCAGACATTTTTGGAGGGTTGTATCGCCTGGTTGGAAATGTGGTCTACTGGTTGCAGCAACTGTTATAGGCATTGAAGAGGGCTATATGTATTATAAGTATGGCCGTACAAGTTGGAGTGGTCACCACTAGAGGTTGATTACGTTCCTGTTAGGGTTTTTGTACAGAAATTTTTTTGAAACGTATGAACGAAATTATTTGTTAATGATGTGATATAGTAATTTGATACAGTTGATTTTTCAAATACTTCTAGGCTATGTTTAGATTATTTTTTTCCAAACTTGTTGCTTTGAAAAACAAATGAGTACCTCACGGAGTTGATAGGAGTTTATTTTCAGTTATCTTTTAAGATAACAGCTTTTGATTCGTCATGCATAGTATATGCTAAAACATCAAATAATTACAGCCTTAAGTACTGTTAACTGAAGTATGTTTTTGGTATATAGTTTGAGAAATAAAACTTATTAGCTGGATCATGTCTTCAAAACCGCGAAAGGTTAATTTGCAATTTTTCATTGAAATTGTATTCTTTTCAGTGGTGGTTCTCTTGAGTTACTAAATAAGTGATACGGCTTCTAATTGTAAGTTAAAGTTGTGATATTTGGCGACTGATATGGTTACTAGGATTACAAGAGTCGATGGTTAAGTATAACGAGTTGAAGAACTCTATGCAAAATAAATTGAGAAGATGCTTTTAAAGCAGGACAGTCGTCCACTTTGTACAGAGCCAACTTTACGTGTTTGGTGGTTACTTGTTCAAATTTTTTCTCTCTTTTGCTTGCACTAGGCGTTTTTGAAATCAAAATATTGGTAGGAATGAAGTTTTTATGCATATGAAGCTCTTCAAGTGACGGTGCATTTTAGGCAACACTTTTGCTAGTGGAGGTATTTAGATTTTCTTAGACGACGTCTGGTACATCTCACTGTATCGCTCTTCGAAACTGATTCTCTTACGTTCCAGTCCAGGTGTTAGAACTTCTTAATGCATCTCCAAATTGTGCTATCTTGACAGTGGTTTTCTGAATGACATCTTGATGTCTTTGGAAGATGATTTTGCGGAAAATATGTTTTGGGTAATGACTGAAGGGTTATAATAGTTTTACTGCGTCCGGAGTAAATTTAAAGCAAGATTTTCCAAATCTGCAAAAAAAAAAAAAGCTGCGAATTTCAAGGGATTGAGAACTACATATGCAGCTTTAAATCTTTATTGTTCCCGCTTGTAATGTTTTCTTGGGTGCTTTAACATTAGTTTTCTCTTTCGGGAGACACTGTAGCAAGATTTTTCGCAAACCCGGGTGGATGACATTTAACAGGAATCTGTAGGTGTTATTCAATCAAGCTCTTCCTCTAATTGGATAGAGGTGAAATTAGAGGTGGCGGCAAGACCTATGAAAGAGTGGAGTAGATTAGGCTAGTCTGAAGTAAGCGTCGTAGAATGAGGTATAGGCATGCTTTTCACTTACTGCAAATGAGAATTTTGAAAATTCGCAAGGGGATCAGTCAAGTGCTCCAATTTGTTGCAGATGTAGGCAAAAGCTTTGTTACCCTTCTTACTTTTCACGGTTATTGTTTGATCTAACAGCAATTTTACTGTAATGCTCTTTGTAGAGTAGTAATTTTTAGAAAGGAAATTCTTGTAAACATCATCTTTTTTTTAAAGTGCGTCTGCGTATCAAGAATAAAGTGAAAAACTAGCAAGATTTAAAAGGCAGTATAAGGCACTTCTTAGATATTACACAAGAACTGTATATACTTGCTATCACTAGTAATCTGTCCATTTGAAATTTCTCATATAGCGCAACTAGATCTTTTTTTGCTGCTTAATTTGTAGATATCATTATACCGTATTAGAACCTCAACAGATTACAATACTTTACAGTTATCAATTTCATTTACTCCCGAACGTCAGAGTTATATTATTACTTTACGCCATATACTCAACGCCACGATAAAAATGTCTCAGGTTAGTTACATTACTATTTACATGCGTCTTGAACATACCCCTACTAACTTCTTACCATTTCTTAATAATTCTTCAAATTTTAATAACCCACTATATACTATTAATACTAAGTTAAGATCTCACATTTAAATCTTCTGGGGATATGAGTGTATCCATCTGCATCCGCTGATGAGGTCCTCGGATGACTCTACATTCATACCTCTTAGGGTCAGGAGTTGTCCGGATAAAGGACCGAAACAACTGCTGTGTATAATGC